AAACTTTTGCCGTCTTTCTAAATTCAATAAATGAGATTTTTCTCACAGGGTCACCTTCCAAGCCATCTCTGCAGAATCATAATTTTCACAGCTAGAGAACGTTTCTAAGCAATTCACTGGCAAAAAGCAGCTATTCAGAAGAACATTTTAAACAGATAAAAAGTATGAGAAAGCTTTTGACAATGAAAATACTTTGAGAAGTAAAAAATCATGATATGTACTTACTAATTTGTTTTCTTGCATATATATTCTTTGCAACTTCAGACAGCCTTTAGCTATAATGATCATTCCTTCATCTGAGATCTTGTAACATTGCCCAAAATGTATGTCTTTCAATTCTCTGCATTTTGAACCCAGCTGCAATTAATGAAATCAAAGGAAAAAAAAGAAACAACAACAGGATTTGATTGAAGAGTCATTAGCTAAGATTCCTCCTCTTTCTCTACCCCCATTAAAAATTATCTTTCTTTACAGACTTCATAACTACTATATGCAAACAAGAAAGATTTTAATTACATATATGACAAAATGAAGCTGCTAAATACAGTCAATAAAACGGAGCTAAGAACAGCACATAAGATTTGGGGGTTTATTGGGTATATATGTAAGTAGCTAACAATGCCTTTATGCTCCACCATTAACAGCATATTTGATTTACCCTAACTACTTCACAGCTTAAGCTAAATGCTCCTTTAACAATCAGAGTTGATGAAACCTTCCTGCATGCCTAACAAAGAAAGATGTGTCACCTTCCGCCTTCATGATACAAAAAGGAGTTACTTAAACGTAGGTTCAGAACAGCAACCAAGCTCAGGAAAATTCAGTCACACAGAAGTGAAGTATAGGATGTCAAACTACAGATTTAGCAACAAAAGGGATCATTTAATCCCTAGATATTAAAAAGAAAAAAAAAGTTAAGTCTCTATAGAACAGCACTTACTGGAGCGAACTCACCATAAAACAATTTTTAAAACAGAAGCTTTTTTCTGATTTTAATTAAATCTTAAGAGGGTACATTCTTCCAGGTCCCTTTTTGCACTTCGTAAGAAGTTGAAATATACTATGTTTACAAAGGAAATCTGTGGAATGGATGGTTACCTGCTTCAGGCCTTCATCAGTGAGTCTGTCTTGATTGCCCACATGCACTTTCTGAAGAAGAGGACACTGAGAGGCAACTGCAATAATAGAGGTGTCAGAAAGCTGTTTACACCTGTAGGCAGTATACCTTAGGAGCCCAGGACATTTAATTGCTAATATGCATACTCCTGTATCAGATACATTGCGACAATCAGAGATATTGATTTCAGTAATATTCTGACTTCTTGATGCTATTTTTTCCAACAGCTCATCAGTGACCTGCGAAGAAAAAAAAAACAAATACTCAAACATAACTTTTTCTATTAAAATCTTTAAATTTCACTAGGACAAAAATGACTATTTGAAAGACGCATTTCCATGAGCTATTGGGAGAATGTAACTACATACCTTCACAAATACCACCTATGGGTGCATATTTTACTGTAATTGATTTGTTTGGGGGGGTGGCGTTTTGATGCTTTTGATGGAACATGGACAACTGGGAGAAAGCCAGTTCTGACAAAGACTATTTAGATTGTGGCTAGATGCTTTCACAATAAAGCTGACAGAGCAACAGAAGCAATATCTACACAAAAATAATAAATATGGGCAGCTCCAGGAATTTGTGTTGCCACAAAAAGAACCACAAACAGCTGCCCAACTTGTCAGAAGTTCTCAAGTTCAGACTGAGTTCCAGAGTTAGGAGGGCAACCTGGACCTACTTCCCTTTCCAGTAATTGCAAAAAGGCTATGTGTGACATCCTGGTATTAGAAATATAAATTACTTGTTGGTAGAATTGCCTTATTAAGGTTTAGGGCTTGATGTGCTTCAATGACCTCAGCTCCTGGGGGAGGTAAACAAAGCTTGGGGAGATGATGTACTACTCGCAGTAGACACAGAGAATGCAGAATGTACAGACCACAAGTACATTTGGCAGAACTCCCAAGATAAGCAAGAAACTAACAAAGCCAACTCAGCTGAAATCAGCTCCAACTGTGTAAAAGATAATTCTGGTAGGGGGAGATGGCAACCACCACAGACCACTGATCCAAGAAACCCACCAGCCTAAAAAGTGGAAGACTGAGCATGTGGACTAATTTGCATAAGAAGAAGTGACTCATTTAACCAATAGAAGGTAGATTACTAATGAATAAGAGAACCATGTAACTTGTAACCAGTGAGCATTACTGCCTTTGTTTACTAAAATGTATAAATAATGAAAAGTTTTGATGGTTCTAGTGCTGGCTTTGTGGATTTACCATGCAGCCTCCCTCTGTGTAGAACTATAAAAAAATCAAGTATCTCCACTCTGTGTGGGGATCAGCCTCTTGTACCCCAGGTGAAAGAACCTGTTTTGGGACAACAGTTTTGGTGACTCAGACGGGAACCGAACCCAAAATCCCCCTATGACTGGCTAGAAACATTTGCTAGCGATAGCAGACCAGCCATCAGGCTGGGCAGAGGCCTTTCCGACAAGAAGGAAATATACCTAGATATGGGTTACAGAGTCAATTGAATCAGACAGAGGTGTTCATTGTACAAAAAATTTAACTGATTAGCTGTATAAGTCTTTGAGAACAGAGAGGCTCTCTAGGAGGCACCTAGCTATTCCAGGAACTTATATCCCGGCTAAGAGGAGCTTGTTGGATGAAGATGAATGTTTGACTCAGTATGCTAACAGGTAGTGAATATTCAACCAGTTGATCAGTAATTCATTTTTGAGAATCTTTTGTGATTTCATATTGATAATCATTTCTGCCCTGTGGGAATATCGTTAGCCCTAATTCTGTTATGTTTGTTACTTGTAATAATGTTGTGTGGAAAGGCAGTGGTTAAATACCTTGAAACTTTTCTTTTCTGCTGTTAGTATATTAGTGGGTATGCTCGATTAAAACACAGGGAGGACTGTTGAAGAATACATTTAGTACAGGTAGCTCTGTGTGCAGCTGCAGTGGAACTGCAGCCCAAGGCAAGAGGTCATGAACTGGTGCTGACCCTTTGCATAACAAAGGGCACAGGGACCTGTGCACAGCCAGGTGAGGGACACTCAGGGACACAGCAGGAGCCGAGGACTCAGCAGGAAGACCCCACACTTGCCCCCCATACAGACTGTGAGGGTTTAAACGCCCAGGGGTCCCTTAGTTCGAGGTCCCTCCTCAGAAGCACCAGCTTGAGCTGTTATTCTGCTGTTGCACCCTGATAAAATTACTTTAAGGATACAGAGATCTGAGACTCTGATAGGGGAAACCTGGGGTTGAGTCCATAAGGAAACCTGGTCTGACTGTGTGAGTGTGGGGAGTCAAGTGGGACCTCCATCGGCTCCCTGGAGCCACCAGTGCCAAGAGGCTTCAATCTCAGCTCAGGTGGTAGAAATGAACTTCCAGAATGGTTCCTGAATGGTTGGACAGGGAAGTTTCCTTAATACCTTTGTAGAAGAATGATTCTGTCGACCTCATACCTGCACACATTGTAGTTAGCTAACATAACAATAATCTTAAAAGAAGACAATTCTATAAAGCTCGTAAGCAACATGAGATATCCTTAAGGTCAACCTTGTAAGTTAGAGCAAATACACAAAAACTAAGCAGGTAAGACATAACACATAGAACTCCCTCACTTTAAAAGTTTAGTTTCAAAAAATCTGACATGATGAAATTATTTCTAACAAAACCATTTAGAACTACTTATTCCCCACCTGGCACAGATGAGATTTAGCTTTAACCCTAAAGAGAGCAAGAGAGCAACATGAATCTCGCTTGGTTTTGTCTGATACAGTTGAGGAACAGTCTTTGCTGCATTCAACCTGTTTTCCATTTGTAGCAAGTCTAAGCTTTTTTCTTGCTATTTCATCAGGGAGCTGTTTGCTAGACAACGGCTGAGCTGCTTTTTCCTCGGGTATAGTTAATTTTCTTCACGGTGACTAGTGCAAGGCTGTGTTTTGGATTTGTGCTGGTTTGTAACTGCTGAGCAGGGCTTACACAGAGCCGAGGCCTTTTCTGAATTCCATACTGCACACTGGTGAGGAGGCTGGGGGAGCACGGGAGGCTGGGAGGAGATACAGCCAACCAAAGCAATATTCCAGACCATATGGTATCATTGTGGTGGGGGGAAAACAGTTTTCCCCCTGAAGCTATAAAATGGTAAACCCCCAGGGGGTGGTGACCCTTGAGGTTTGAACCAATGAGCGCTTCTGCAAAATATAAACATATCACCCAGACCGGAAAGGAAAGGTAGTGGTTGTAGTTGTTGTAGTAGTTGGAGAGAGGTGGCCATGTTCTAAGCCACGAGGAAGGGGTAGGAGCCCCTTGGGGGCTCTGCCCACCCCCCCCAGCCCCCGGCTGGGGGGCTACAGAGACTTGGAACAGTGTAAGGCTGGGCTAAGTACCTGTAGCTATGAGCTGGGGGAGCAGCAGAAGAGGCAGCAAGAACAGCACTGACAGAGGGAAGGTGGCAGGGAGCCAACAGATAAGAACTGAAGAAGCAGCAGAAACAGCACGTAGCTGAGGAAGACACAGAGTTGTCTGAAGGAAAGAGAGCCAGCAGCAGAGAGAGCAGAACTAAGTTCTACAGACAGAGAGTTTTGGGGTAAGAACTGAATCAGAACCCCCCAAACTCCTTTGAGATCCCTTTGTGATATGACCGTGGTGGAGCGACCTTTGTCTGGGTGAACGCAGCCCACGGAAGACCCTTCGCCTGCATCAAGGGGTCGAAAGGGGCTTGGATAACCCCCTCGTGTGTACTGGCAGAGATCCAGCTACAGCTGCTGCATGGAAGACAGAGAGAAACTGCTGCCCTAGGGACTGCTGCTCAAAGAGAGGAAAGGATCCCTTCCTTCTTCCCTCCTGGACTTTTATTTGGAAGGGAGAAGAGATTTGATCCATTGTAAATACTGCTTTATCATAGTAGAGATAGTTGAGATTGTATATGATGTATTATACTATTTATTTTGTAAAGTCATTGTAATATAACCCTTTCCCCCCATTGTGAGTCTCGTGTGGTGCCTGGAAAACCCATCTCACACTGGGTTGAGATGTGGGAGGGGGGCTAGAACTAGGGAATTGGATTTTGGGGCTCTCAAACCATGACAATCATGCTCAGTATATGAAGTGGGAGGAAGAAGGAGGAAGGGGGCCATGTTTGGAGTGATAGCGTTTGGCTTCCCAAGTCACCATCACACGTGACAGAGCCCTGCTCTCCTGGAGATGGCTGAACACCTGCCAACCCATGGGAAGCAGTGAATTAATTCCTTGGCTTGCTTTGCTTGTGTGTGTGGCTTTTACATTCCCTATTAAACTGTCTTTATCTCAACCCATGACTTTGAGCTTTTACCCCTTCAATTGTCTCCCCAGTCCTGCTGCTGTGGAAGTGAGAGAGGCGCTGCTGGCTGGGGTTAAACCACCACAGGGACAAATTAAAAAAAAAAAATCCAAGTAAAAACCACAAACAAACAATGCCTGGTCAAAGACACACACACAAAAACCCCCACAACAAAACAAAAACAACCAAAAAAGCCCAAATCACCAAACTCTCCCCACACCTCTCCAAGAAGAACATTTGTGCTTAATATGCGTTTCAGAACTCCATAAAAACATGGCAATTTCTTAGAACAATGCCACAACTGATAAACTCTAGTGAAATCCTTTACTGAAATACCTAATAGACAAAACCATTAAAAATCTTTGTAGCAAAATAAGGCTACAGCTTAAGACACTGAAGAAGAAAATACTTTTTAGACACACAACACCTACAGAGCTAAAAGACAGATCCCTGGTGTAAGGGTGCTTTGGAGTCCCTTGAGGAAAGAAAATAAAAATCAGACAATCTGCTACATAACTTTTCCATAGTGGTTCAGAAACATGTTAACTAGTAACTCTAGAAGCAAGAGAATTTGCATTCTCTCTTATGAATTGGTGACCTGAAAATAATACTCCATATGTATTCTATATTCCAACACAAATGAGTTCATATTGTTCCTTCTTCAAATGGGACCGTCGAATTCCCATGAATTTTCATGAAACTCTAAAGCAAGTGTTTATAAACCCCTGCAAGTAACTAATTAACAAGAAACCTCAAGAGGGTGATGCAGACCTGAGACAGGTAACCCACAACCCATTTCAAACAGCACTTGTCCTTACACCATTTAACAACAGATCTCAGTCAAAATACACTATATTTAAATAAGCTAATGTAAGGGTTCGGACACTTTCAGCCTAGAGTAAAAAAAATCCTTGAAAGCACAGATATCACCATTTTTTGTGTTTCTTTTGTTTGCCCTCAGTCCAAAGTACAAGTTCCAAGAACAAGTTCTGAGTCATCAAAACAATTTTTCCACAATGATATTTTCATACCTGCTGACGACTACTGAGATCCAGTTGCTTCCAAAACTGAAAATCTAAACAGAGGTCACGCCAATATTTACAGACTAATGACACTGAAAGGCAACGCTCGTTCAGAGATAAGTTGGAAAATATCTGTAAAGAAAGAAAAAAAATATTTGTCAGATGTAATCATATTTTGAAGACAGAAATATTTTATTACTAATTCATCTTGTAAAAGACAGGAAAATATTAGCGTGCATTGTAACACACAGATCTAGAACTTGCCCCCAACTTGATTAGTCAGGGACAATAACAAAAAAACCTACATCCCACAAGAACGAACAATATTAATAAGACACCTCAGCACAACCAACAACAGAATGTATCCTACTTAAGCCTTCATTTCTTAGTCTAAGTTTCAAATATGCTTCTGAGATGGCATACCTAAAGAATTACAAATACAAGTATTAGCTCAATGTTATTTTGCAAGCCATTTAAAAGGTGTTTTCATTCCCATTCTGAAATGGATGGAAAAGCATTCCTTTTATTTTTTTAACCGAATAGAAGAGTCAGAAAGGTATTAAAACACCAGTCTTGTGGGAAGGGGGCATGGGATGGTAGCACAGATCAGCAGAGCAAACCAGTGTCATACAAGGGAACTTAAGCACACAATTAGAGTTTTATACTCCAAGGTTTTGAGCACTATAGTTGCCTGCAAAAGTTACAGGTTATTCTTTTTTATGGTAGGCTCATAAATTGCTGTAACATTTATTACATTCAGCCCTTCCACAGAAGAACTGTTGCTTATTAATAAATATAAAAAAAGGTCTGCCAAGAGTTTCATATGAAGGTACCATGTCACCACAAATGACCTTACATCTACATGTCATCCTATAATGAGAAAAGGCAATAATGGCATTAAGATACACAGGAGCACAGACTGCAAAACATGAAAAAGTCCTCCCACTCTTCTGATGAGGACATCGAGTACTAAATAGAAGCACTACTGCCCATCTCAGGCAATTTTCTCAAGAAAATCTGAAAGTACTAGAGAGAGTCCACAGGAAAGCACTGAAGACTAGAAAACATGAAAACATTCAAAGAAACTACTAGCACTTGGGAGTTTAGCCAAGGAAAAGGGATGGCAAGGGGGGTAAAAAAAATAAAGAAAAGGGTAATAAAGCACTGAAATATAATACCTGGCAACTTACAAAGCTTTCATCATTGGGTGGTCTTTGGAACAGAGTAGACAACCAACTGTCAAGAATAACCACCATAAACCATCTCCTAGAACAAGGGGTACAGTTATCTCATCAGCTTTAAATATGCATATCCCTACAAGGCCCCCTCATGAAAGAGAGTTGTAGTAAGAGGGGAAGGGGTCAAATTCATGACATTCTGTAAATGCTTACAAGATTTATCATTCCCATCTTCTTCTTCCAGCTATGAAAAACTCGCAATCTCTTACGCAAGACTCCTCAGTGTTAAAGGATTTTGCGTGAATCCTGTTTTCCTGGGGGCCTTTGCTAGACCATCACCAGAGTCAATGGATGCTTCTCCTTAGGCAATCAGTTCAACATGAGCAGACAGAAGGGCAAATCAAACAATTGATGCCTGCTTCCTCTCTGCAGTTCTCAGTCTGTAATGGTGAATCCATGGATAGAACAAAGACATAGCTGTGATCAGCACCCAAAAAATACCGTCTCCCTCAGTCAAGGAGAAAGAAAGCACTAAATAGTAAGTGGTAATTTGGCATCTGACACTCCTGCTGTAAAAGTGTCATTCTAAATGTTAGAAAAGGTGACAGTATGACAATGCTCGGCAATTTTTAGTAAAAGCAGTAGGAAACTTGAATTCCTGCTATCAGCAAGGAACAGAAGACTGAATCTTTTACCAGTTACAAAAGCCTTAGAAGAGAACAAGGCAACGTGATCCACATTATGTTTAGACAGACATCTAACTGACTTAATACTAAGAAGGATATCAAGGTTGGCATCATAAAATTCTTTAACCAGCCTTTACTCCAGTAGGAAGTAAATATGCTTATTTGTGGAAATACCACCTTTACTTTGAGAAAGAAAAGCTTGCAGATCCAAAGAACACAGCAAACACAGAACAGGAAAGACTGTTGCTAATCCAGCTGCCACTGTGAAAATGAAAGCCCATAAATAATTTTTGTATTTTATTTGGTTTGGTTTGGGTTTGCATAGCAAGGTTTTGGTAGTGGAGGGGCTACAGGGGTGGTTTCTGTGAGGAGCTGCAAGAAGCTTTCTCTTTGTCCAGAGCCAGTGCCAGGCAGCTCCAAGACGGATGCATCATTGGCCAAGGCTGAGCCCACCAGTGACGGTGGTAGCACCTCTGAGATAATATATTTAAGAAGGGGAAAAATAGCCATTGGGCAGAAGCAAATCGCGACCAGAGAAGAAAGGAGTGACAATCTGTGATGCGGAAGGAGCAGTAGAAACAATGTATGATGAACTCACCGTAACCTCTACTCTGGTCCCCCTGAACTCCTAAGGGAAGGAGGTAGAGAATTGTGAAACGATTAGGCCCAGAAAGGAGGGAGGGGTGGGGGGAAGGTGTTAGTTTTACTTCTTTTTATCCTACTCTGATCTGATTAAAATAAATTCAACTGATTTCCCCAAGTCAAGCCTGGTTTGCCCATTACAGTAATAGGTCAGTGATCTCCCCCTATCCTTATCCCAACTCATGATCCTTTAGCCATATTTTCTCTCACCAGTCCAGCTAAGGAGGGGAGTGATAGAGCTGCTTTGGTGGGCACCTGGTGTCCAAGCAGCATCAACCCACCACACTACCACCCCATTAAAAGCTGAAAGCCCTCACAAATCACAGACCTACTGCTACCATATTGCTACCATTGTTTCATGCAGTAGTAATGAAGAAACAAGGAGAAACAAGTTTGACTCAGTATTTGACATAAACAGTACATCTGCATAGACAATATCCTGAAAGAAATGCCTGAAAGCATTTGTAGCCATGTTTTAGTCCACGCTGTATTGAATTCTAGCTGCAGAGACAATTAAGGAGTGTAGAGGTGCTGCAAATTGACTTCTTAGAAAACAATCATCAGAATGAAGCCACCAGGAGGAGAAGCAATAACAAGTCATTTCAGAAGTTTCAGCACAAACAGGAGTAGCCATGTAAATTACACAAGCGATATGTGTTCAAAGACAAGGCCTTGTCTGCAGTAGCTGTAAAAGTTCCAGCTATGAAAGGATGCTGAATAATGCCAGGTAAAACATCAACTTCTCTTCAGAGTGTGCAATTGTTAAAAAAAGATGTATTGAATTACACTAAATGGAATTTAGCAGCAAAGACTATACATATTCCAGGTAGTGACACACCACCCTTACATTAAGGGATTAGCTTAGTTACTGGTACATAGTACCAGTACTTAGTTACTTAGTTACATAGTACACTAATGCATAAAACACTTCAAGTCGCCTTGATGACTTTCACCACCCTTTAATTCAATTTTATTCTCTAGATATATACTGATACTGTGGCAGCTGATTTGTCCTGACTTAATTTTCTAATTCCCAAGGATGTATAAATACAGCTGAAAGCTAAAACTGGTCTTACCCCCAAGCCTGTTCATCTAACTCCTGCTTATGACAGATAACTTTCTGAAGGCAACGGTTCTACTAGTTAGCATGTTTAGCTGCTGAAAATTGTACTCAAACATGTATATTTGCATATCCACTGTTCCTTTTGTTCCCCCGCAATTCTGTCTAATCCCCCTTCCAAGCACCAGAATATCCTTCAGCACTGTCAAGGGGGGGGAAAAAAAGTTTAACAGCACTTTCTAGAATCATTTCACACTTTTTTTTACCCTGTTGGCAAAAGGCAAGGGTAGAGGAAGCACAGTTCCGCAAAAGATGCAAACTCTTGTTCCTCACTCACTCTCAGTTCACCCTCTTTTAGCTCAAATTCCTAAATACGTCAGTGCCTCCTGCTTCACCCTTTCATGTGATAGTTAAGATTAGTGGGTTTCTCTTCCCCTTCAATGGATGGAAGAGATTTTCTAGGACTTTCTGTTCCCCACTGATGGCCTTATCATACCTTCCAGACATAGTATGTTCTTAAACATAAAGTTTTTGCTTTGAAATATGTTTTCACACAGACTCATTGAAGACCATTAATGCTTTCCTTGCCTTAGTCTCTAATAGCAAGACCAGTTGCTGTCCAGGTATCCAGCCTGCTGAGCTGGAAGACAGGAAGCAGAATGAAGCCCCCACACAATCCAAGGGGAATTGTGCTACACCACTTAGACACACACAGGCCTAAGGGGCCAAATGGGATCTGGGCCCTGAGGGAGCCAGTGGAAGTGCTTACCAAGCCACTTTCAATTACTTATGAGCAGTCTTAGCTAACCAGGGAGGTTCCAACTGACTGGATGCTGGCAAATGTGACGCATGTACAGGATGCATATGGCACGTACAGGACAACCAGGGGATCAGGCCCAGCCAGCACAGGTTTGTGAAATGCCCGTCTTGCTTGACCAACCTGATCTCCACCTATGACAATGTGATCTGGTTGTTGGATGAGTGAAAGGCTGTGGATGTTGTCTACCTGGAATTCAATAAAGCCTTTTACAACATCTCCCACAGCATTCTCCTGAAGAAACTGGCAGTTCATGGCTTGGACGTGCACTGCTTGCTGGGTAAAAAACTGTCTGGACATCCAGGCCCAGGGACTGGTGGTGAATGGAGTTACATCCAGCTGGCCACCAGAAACAGTGTGGCAACAGGACCAGGGCCATGATCACCTCCTCTGTGAGGCCACAACTTGAATCCTGTGTCCAGTTCTGTGTTCCTCACTCCAACAAAGACATTTAGGTGCTGGAGTGAGTCCAGACAAGGGCAACAGAGATAATGAAGGGTCTGGAGTGCAAGTCCTATCAGGAGTGGCTAAGGGAGCTGGGGTTGTTCAGCCTGGAGAAAAGGAGGCTCAGGGGTGACCTTATCGCTCTCTACAACTCTCTGAAAGGAGGTTGTAGCCAGGTAGAGGTTGGTCTTTTCTCCCAGGGAACAAGGAAGGACAAGAGCAAATGGCCTCAAGTTGCGGCAGACGAGGTATTGTTTAGACACCAGGAAAATTTCTTCACTGGAAGGGTTGTCAAGCACTTGAAC